TCAGTCTCCCCACCATCACAGACATCTACACCTCCAGATGCAGGAAGAGGGCCACCTGCATCATGAAGGACCCCACCCACCCAGCACACACACTTTTTGCCCCACTCCCCTCAGGAAGGAGGTTAAGGAGCATTAAGTGTAGAACCACTAGACTGAGGAACAGCTTCTACCCTGAGGCTGTTAGACTCATGAATCTCTAACCAGAATAATCACTGTGAAAAACCATATCATGTTGCTGCTGATCTGTTTCATGTTGCTGCTGATCTGTTTCATGTTGCTGCTGATCTGTTTCAATGTTGATGTGTTCATGCGTGCACATCTGCTCACAGACTCATGTTCATGCTTGTGCTGATGTTCAATGTTTTATGTTATGAGTGCTTAGTGTATATTTAGTTGATGTTTTTCTTAGTTCATATCTTAGATGTTATTACTGTTTTTCTTAGACATTTTATTGTTGGATGTAACTGGGACCCCGTGTACATAATTTTGCTCCACCACATGTACCACATGAGGTGCGAATGACAATAAAGAAACTCTGACTCTGACTCTCTGAACCAAGGACCTGCTCGCTGAGAGGCAGCAGCTCTACCAGTTGCGCCACCGTGCTGCCCGTATAATATACCATTTATAATTAAAAAAAAGAATATGACTGTTCCATTTGTTTTTGGCTCCTGCATCATCCAGCAAGTTTCATCACAGCAAACCCGTAGCATGAAATTATTATTATTTTTTAAACGGTTATGATTTTCACATTTCAAAACATCAACTTGTCTTCATTCATTTCTAACGATGGAAAAAATTTCATCTGTAGCTTCACAGTGTCAGGAAACATTCCAGAGGAATGAGGTTAGACCAGACGCTCCAGATGTAATTTTATTTTTCTTCCTCCAGTGATTGTTGTATCTTTTAACAAAGCATTTTGTGCTTTCCACGATTAATGTTTATACAACTTTGTGTTAAAACCTCATGTAACAACATCCTAAAAGTGGCAAAGCTAAAAGCGATAAGCAAAATAAAGGCATTTCAGTTCAACATGGATAGAAAAAGCTACTTGAAAGCATTTTCTTGCTACTTGCTTTATGTAAAAATATATTTCATTTTTTAATACTGCTTTATAAAGAAATTATGTAAACTACCTTTGTTTATTATTATGGTTTTCATTATATACAGTAAATTCATTGTCTTGTGGTTTCAGGGGAAAGATGATTCCCTCTGCTCTGGAAGAAAAAATACATCTGGCACAAAGTGAGGTGAGGAGTTCAACTCATTTTAAGGGATTTTAATGAAAAATTCAGTCAAAACTGCAACAAATAAATGATCTGTATGTATGCATTGTTCAGGGTGCAGTTCCATTCTTTGTCAACGCCACAGCTGGTACCACCGTGTTTGGAGCATTTGATCCCATTGATGAGATCGCCAGCATCTGTGAGAAGCACAACCTGTGGCTACACGTGGATGTGAGCTCTTTTAGTCATTCACCGATTCATTATGGAAATGCTGATTCTGCAGTTACACTATGTTTTACCTCTTTTATATTTACTACTGTATAGTTTGTGCTATTTTTGCTATTTATAAATCAAACTGTTTCACTCATCCATTGGAAATTTTATGCTTTTCATAATATTAGTATTTTATTACAAATCTATATTTTCTAAATAAATACATTGATTACAATTGTACAATTACAAGTGTTTCGAAAATATTGTTCTAGTTAAAATTTGCTTCTGCGTACTTCAGCTCTATTTTTGTCTTATACTACTTTTAGCCTTAACTTAATTTTTGCTACCATCTTTTATCTCGTTTTGCGTCTTTTGGATTTTAGTTAACATTTGTTATTTTAACTTTTAGCTACTGTTTTGCTACTTTTAGTTTATAGCTAGCTTTTTGCATCATTTTACTTTTATTCAGACGTTTACCATATTCAACTTGCATTGTAGTACATTTAGCCTTTAGCAGGTGGTTCATTACTTTTGACTTTTAGCTAAAGTTTTGTTTCTTTTAACCTTTAGATATTGTCCTGATTTTTTAGCATTAATAAACCAGTTTTAGCTTCTTCAGATAATTTATTAAGTACTCAGCATTAAACCTGCATTTTCACAGAACAGTCACAGTCCCAAAATGAGCATTTAGATTTATTTTTTCCATTTTTTCCTCAGGCATGCTGGGGTGGAGCTGTACTCATGTCTAAGAAACACAAGCACCTGTTAAAGGGAATTCAGAGGTAAACAAATAGTAACTGGGTACGGATTGGAAGTCCATATCTGCCAGTAACATGAAAAATTAAATCTAGATACAAAGTTGTTTTCTCACAGAATTTCCAACAATCCTTCTCTGGCCCTCTGTGGACGAAATGGGTGTGGAGACTGTAACCATAAGAACTAATGTTTTAGGTTTATATTGCACAGGGACATGTAAGTATGTGATGCTGAATGCTTGCGTGCCCAGACCGAGCTGTAAATAGTTTAATCGACAAAATCTAGTAAAATTATAACACACAGGGTTGAAACCAGAAATATTTTGTGCTCTGTGCAAGTACAGGACATAATATCACAGAGATTGGGTGGTCAGCCAAAATTTAGTGTCAACATTTTCCTTTGCTAAGATGAAGGTTGAAAAGTTTTAAGTTTAATCAAATTATTTTTACTCTTATGTGTACATATTTTAATGTATGTAAGTGTGTATATATGTAAACTGTATATGTATATAAATATATATATATATATTTATTATATATATATATATATATATATATATATATATATATATATATATATAGCTGCACAAAAGAGCAGCAGGTGCTAAATAATTTTAAATAATTTATTTTAACTAGAAATTCCATGCTGATCGTGCGGCTCATCCATCATTGAGCCAATTGTGTGTCATGTCCAATCTTATTTTGAAAAACCACGATAGAGTGAATCTGCGATAAACAAATCTCAAAGTAGCGAGGGACCTAGACATGCACACTGTTTTTACAAACATTTGTGAAAGAATGGGTCGCTTTCATGAGCTCAGTGAATTCCAGCATGGAAGTGATAGGATGCCACCTATACAACAAATCCGGGTCATGAAATTTCCTCGCTTCTAAATATTCTACAGTCAACTGTATTAAAAGAAAATGGACGTGCTTGGGAATGACAGCAACTCAGCCACAAAGTGGTAGGCCACGTAAACTGACGGAGTGGGTCAGCAGATGCTGAAGCACATAGTGCAAAGAGGTCACCAACTTTCTGCAGAGTCAATCACTACAGACCTCCAAACTTCATGTGGTCTTCGGATTAGCACAGAGAGCTTCATGGAATGGGTTTCTATGGTCGAGCAGCTGCATCCAAGCCATACATCACCGAGTGCAATGCAAAGTGGCGGAAGCGGCAGATGCAGTGGTGTAAAGCATGCTGCTACTGGACTCTAGAGCAGTGGATGCGCGTTCTATGGATTGACGAATTACACTTCTCCATCTGGCAATCTGATGGACGAGTCTGGGTTTGGTGGTTGCCAGGAGAACGGTACTTGTCTGACTGCATTGTGCCAAGTGTAAAGTTTGGTGGAGGGGGGATTAAGGTGTGGGGTTGTTTTTCAGGAGCTGGGCTTGGCCCCTTAGTTCCAGTTAAAGGAACTCTGACTGCTTCAGCATACCAAGACATTTTGGACAATTCCATGCTCCCAACTTTGTGGGAACAGTTTGGAGCTAGCCCCTTCCTCTTCCAACATGACTGTGCACCAGTGCACAAAGCAAGGTCCATAAAGACATGGATGGCAGAGTGTGGTGCGGATGAACTTGACTGGCCTTCACAGAGTCCTGACCTCAACCCGATACAACACCTTTAGGATGAATTAGAGCGGAGACTGAGAGCCAGGCCTTCTTTGGAGGTCTGTAGTGATTGACTCTGCAGAAAGTTGGCGACCTTTTTGCACTATGCCCCTATA